AGATAACAAGGAGTTTGCCCTCAGTCGAATTTGATACTGGTTGGGTGGGTCATGGTTGGGTAGTAACAGCATCCATTAATGTTTTCATTTTCGATGTTAGAACTCGACTTTCTCTGAAACTTTGTTGCCCATAAACGTGAGGAGATGTCCTCATCTCGAATAAAAGACTGATTTTTGGCGCAAGCCATCGGTTGCTATTTCGTTGTTTCAGCTTTCTCCCACCTAATTCGTCCGCTGAAGAATGGAATATCTTACGAATAATAGAAAGCCAACCGACTCATCAAAATCTTACCGTCGACATCTTACACACAGGAAGCGATGATGTTTCAAACCACAGAAATGACAGCCTTTTTGATTCCGCCTTTTTTACCCATGAGAACCTTTTCTGGATATGAAGAGGATGGCGAAAACTCGCACTTAGGCTAGATGCAAACTCATATCTAACCACATGCAGAGCGAGAATAGTACTACTGATACTTGACGACGACGTAGAGGTTACCGTTGCCTAAAGGAATCTTCCGCGGAAAAAGCTCCGCCTCCATTACCACAGAAAAACGATACCCCTTAGGCCCCTAGCCTCATGAGCATAGCAAAAAGAACGGAACATAAGCGTTAGTTTCGATAATACTAATCCTACACACAAGACAAAATGATCACTCTTTCCGTGGAAGATTCCTTTAAGGTATCGTTTTCTGTGGTAATGAGGGCGGAGCTTTTTCCGTGGAAGATTCCTTTAATGTTCGTGATGCTATATAGCCGACTTTATCACAAACTCCTTGGTATGTTCATTTTGCAACATTGCTCTCCATTTTTTCACGGTGTTCCAGCCTCTGTCGGTATATCTAGGTCTTGTATCAAAGTTTTATACGAAGATGCATACCTTCCCTGGTGAGTGCTGATTAGTGATCTGGGTAGCACATGTCTCAGGTGCTTGCAAAATGCTGTTACTGCTGCTCCTTTTTTGGTGAAATACTTCCTCATATCCATGCTTGATTAGCGTTTGAAATGAAAACTAAATAGTAAGCGCATTTTTGGACAACACTTGCAAACTGACGTCATCGAGACTTGAATTTATGTTCAGCTATCCTTTCAAGTGATTAAATTTCGGCAAAATCAAAGAGAAAAGACAAACTATGACCACACTTGTTCTCTACGAATTATATGGCTTTCCAGGATTCATTAGAGAATTTCATTCTTTAGCGTAAAGAGAGATAAAGTGTTATTTTTGGGTGGCAGTAGAATCGTCCAACAAATAAGGCAGTTCTCTTGTCAGCAGCTCTTAACTTACAACTTCATTTCCGGTTTTGAAGTGAGAATGTTCTAATGAAACGGATGAAACGTTATGCATCTATGATTTATCCTTCGTGGTAGACTTCACACGACCGGCTTTTAGAGTCCATCTAGTACTAGTGTTAGTGCTAGTACCAGTACCAGCAATGAGGAAGTAAAAGTGGAACGTCCCTTAGTAAGCTTTCCACTCATGATACTTCTATTCAACAGACTAGGCAATCAACCTTTGTTTACTCCAGTGCGCAAGTCCACCGTATACTTCGATGGGTGCAGTCGCAACATCGCAACCAGAACCAGTATGTCTATCTGTAGGCAACTCTTCCATAATTTTCAAACTTCGCTAATGAGTCAGTGATGCACTGTGACATCTTAACTTTATTTTCTAGTTTGGAAGTGAGAATGTTTTGCT